TACAAATTAGACAGGTGGTCTAATGCAATTGTTAAACACGGTATGTTATATTGAATAAATGTATGGTTTCACTGATGTTTTTCAGATTATGAAGAGGAATCTAAACAACGTGAAGAGAATGACATCCCATCCCATATATCAGTATTGTAAGTGCCTTCATTGAAAACTGAAAACCATAACTGGTATACAGCATATTTTAAATATGAACATCTTCCATTAAATTCCTTCTTTTCTCTGTGTTTTGTATCTTTTTTGTATCCTTCGTCTCTCTCTCCGCCTTTGGCCTGTTTCTGTGTGCGTTCGCTCGGGTCTGCTCGTGCGTCAGACATGACGGGGGCTCAGGATGGCAGTGTGAGAATGTTTGAATGGAACAGACCTCAGCAACTCATTTGCTTCAGACAAGCAGGCAACGCTAGAGTCACCCGGCTCTATTTCAACTCCCAGGGCAATAAGGTACAAGCTCACACACACACACACAGAGTAACAGCTGTGTTTTGTCTATTTTGTGTGATTATATCTGATTGCTTTGAAAACATCTCGCAGTGTGGAGTCGCTGATGGAGAGGGCTTCCTCAGCCTCTGGCAAGTCAACCAGACATCCTCCAACCCCAAACCCTACCTGGTGAGGTCACCTCCCAGCAGCTCAAATCCTTATTTACCATCACAGCACGGACAAAACATCAAATCGACATCAAAGCTAAATCATTTAAATGAATATGTGCTGTTTCTTGTCTTGTTCTTGCTGCCAGAGTTGGCAGTGCCACACTAAGACCTGCGGCGACTTTGCCTTCATCACGTCCTCCAGCCTCATCGCCACAGCTGGACAGTCCAATGACAACAGGTTAACATCTGCACTATTAAACAAATACCACCCTTTATCTGTTTTTATCAGCTGCCTCGTATTAATTTTGCTTTATGTTATCCATAGAAATGTTTGCCTGTGGGACACTCTGATTTCACCCAGCAATACCATGGTCCACGGTAAGAAATCCCAAATATCCAAGCAAGCCCATCATTTTTCCTAATTTCAAGTTGCTTTATCATCAAATCTCACATTTCTTCCCACCCACTCCTGCAGCGTTCCCCTGTCACGAGAACGGGGCCACTGTGCTTCAGTATGCTCCTAAACAGCAGTTACTGATCACTGGAGGCAGAAAGGGCTTTGTGTGTGTGTTCGACATCCGCCAGAGGCAGCTGCTCCATACTTTCCAGGCCCATGACTCAGCCATCAAAGCCCTCGCACTGGATGCCTTCGAGGACTTCTTCGTCACTGGCTCCGCAGAGGGCAACATGAAGGTGACGCACGCTCCATCACTCACTCACTGACTTGCCAAAACACATTAACTTTGTGTGTTGAGGATTTGTGACTTATTCAAAGTACGCTGAAATCCATCCTCCTCGTACACATATTGTACAGTGTAGTGGTACAGTTTCTCTGGAGCGTGACCTCATGCAGGACTGTCATAGTTTGTGTTACAGTCCCAAGTGGGTAGTCAAGTTAAACATCCGTAACCCATGCTCATAGTGTTATCAAGTTTGCAGACTGCACAAAGGTTTATAGCACTAAAAGTAAAGTGGTGGTTTTTTTGACAACCTTATAGAAAGTTTAGTAAACAGAAGAAACTTGGCAGGTGTATTTTTCCAACCAGTTTTCTTAGAATTTGCCCCATTTCTTCTGTCTCAGTTGCTTCTGTCTCTTTATGTAATCCCAGAGTGACTCGATTGTCGGTGTTCTGTGGGGGCCAAACCTTCCATTGCAGGTTGTTCTAGTCACTGAGGATAGTCTTTTATGAGTCTGACTACAGGAGCTATAACTTCTGCACAGCACCATATATGTAAATATTGCATCTGCAAATCTGGAGTCTGAAGAAACTAGGACAGTGACAGTTTATATAACTGTATTTTGATGTTTGGTATATTTAAATTAAAGCCGAGCATGGCTTGCCAATATGGAGTGTAAATGGGATCCACTATAGTAACTCCTCTACAAATATTTATTATATATCATGGTGATAAATCTGCAGGTCACATCCTCAGAAAACTAATTGGTTGATAGAATGGAAACTATCACAATCCCTTGAAATCTCAGAAACTGGGGCTATAAAGTGTTTGCCGGTTTTGCTTGAAAACTACTCAGACAACAAATCTCCCAGGCAAGAAATGGTCCAGTACATGAAGCACAACTTGCCGTTTTTATCCCCCATTTGTGGTTCTGATTAGTCAAACGCTGTATTGCACAATTTGATTGGGTCATACAATGAATAAATGCATGAATATACTCATGTTATTACCTCTGTAACCAGTTCTGCTCATAATAAGCTTTTGACGCATTAGTCATTGGATGCTGTTAAACAGAAAAACAGAAATAGACTTAGGTCCCATTTACACGTAGCAAAAACAGTGATATTTCAATGTGTTTGGGCCTTTGGTTTACACGTTGACGAAGCTACAAGTCACAGAAAACAATCATACCTGCAAACTCCGGCCAAAGTGGAGATTTGGAAAGACTCTGTCTTTACATTTGCGTGTAGAAAGGAGGAGACGGAGTTTGACGTCACAGTGTGCAACAAAAGTGTCATCAACATCATATGTGTGTAACTTGTTTACAGTTTGGCTACTGTGATAGAAAGTCAATAATTTCAAGTATTTTACTTGTTTTGTACGTGAACATCACATTCAGGAGTAGCTCCACTTCTCTGTCGGTCCAAACGACCCTTGCGCCATTGTCGTTGAAGTAACAGGAAGTCATTCGTGCCATTTGTTGTTGTGTTTTTTTCTAGGATTCTGATTGGCTAGCATGGCTTTATGTTTCCGGTTACACTTCCCCCTATAGGTTTGGCATGCTCATAGCAGCTCTTAACGACCTGTTTATGCGGGTTTGTGTAAACAAAGATTTTTTTTTTAACTATCTGGTATGAACAATGTTATTTTTGAAAATGTAGATCCATTTTTGTAAATACCCGGCTCTATGTGTAAATGTGGCTTTATTAAGTGCAAAGTTGTTTTTACGGCACTTAGAGAAATCATTGGCTAACTCAAACTCACTTTGGCACACGTTTGCAGATGTACACTGAAAAAATAATTTATTGAATTTACTTAAAACAGTTATGTCAACTTTTTCCACAAAACCTTGTTATGTTGGAACTAATTTCGCAGTATAATTAATACGGCAATGACTAACTTAAGTGGACTAGGTTTTAATAGTAACACAAACATGTTAATTAAGTTTAGTATAGATGCGTTTAATTAATTCAACAACTGACAAAGTTCACTTTTTTCAGTATCGGCTCCTCATAATTACATCATTAGGAAGTAGTTGGAAAAGGGCTAAAGGAAACTTAAAGTGTGTTCTCTTTTCTCTCTCACTTGCTGTATTTCCAGGTGTGGAAGTTAGCCGGCCACGGGCTCATGCACTCTTTCAGCACCGAACATGCCAAGCAGTCCATCTTCCGCAACATTGGCGCCGGCGTGATGCAAGTGGAAACGCGACCCGGAAACCGAATCTTCACCTGTGGAGCAGACGGCACCCTAAAGATGAGGGTCCTGCCCGACCGCTACAACATCCCTAGCAGCTTGGTCGACATCCTGTAATGCCTACTTCCACTTCTGAGGGTCCAAAGAGGAATGAGAGGGAAAGAAAAAACACAAAAGCTTATGTAACACTCTCTAGGCATTAATAGCATAAAGGATGGGGAAAGAATTAGTCAGAAGGTCGCCATGCTTTTGGCATCTTTCAGAGTGCGACGTGTTCATGGGTTTACCGCTGATGTAAATCATATCCAGAATGACAAACGGAGCTGCAAACATTTTTTTCCCAAAGGCTGAAAAACAAAGTTACAAGCAAAAGGTATCATACTTGATTTTAAAGCTAGATTTATTGTAATTTTATTGAAGAATCTCTACTCTTAGAGTGTGTCCATAGGGAAGCTATGCATGTCCTGTTCTCGTTACGCGGTGCAATCACAGGTCTATTGATAGTGCTCTGTAAAAGTGCTCAAGCAAAAATTTTAAAAGTGTGTAACTGTCGTCATTTTGTGCCCACAGCTGAAATCTCTTAGCATCTACTGTAACCAGCACTGTGGTTTGTTCTTAAGTCAGTGGTTTCCAGTGTGAATCGAGTTGTTGGAATCTGCATTTTGTTTCAATGGTTTTACCCCCCCTCCTGCCTTTTTGCCCGGCTTTTCTTAGCCCTTCTGGAAGAGTTGATGGTGCATTGCTCCTAATAGTGACACCCCACCTCCCCCCAAACCCTCTACTTCACTGGCTGCCCATCGCTCACTCTGGCCTCTCGAGGTTTGGGTTCGGCTCGACCCAGTTTGGCCCACGAGTGCGTGTTCACTCTGCTGTGTCCGCCATCTGTACGCCTGCCCGCCCACCTGCCCTCAAATGCCTGTTTGTGCGGCAGACTCACTGCTAGAACATTCCTGTTTGGAAGATGATGTGTTTTACTTCTGTGACTGTGATTTCAATGTTTCCATCTGTCTGGTCCAAACGCTAAGCACCCACCTACCCACCCAGAGCAGAAACACAAAGGTTCACTTCTGGTTTTTGCACAAGAGAATCTTGAATTAGTCTTTTTTTTCTTTTTTTTTTTACTGAGTTGATTTTATTATTTAAATTATTTATATGTTTGTGTTTGTTTGGTTGACCATTCCTATGTAAAACTATTTAACTTATTGCCTTTTATTTTAGGAATGTAAGGGGTTTTACTGTATCTGACTGGGAGATGTGCAACACAGTCTACTGTATGTAAGTGTGTGTTACCTCGCTAGTTGTTTTTACTGTTTCATCTATAAGGAATAGATATTTGCACTCAAATTCTGGAGACACTAAAAGTTTATTTCGAATAAATAGGTTATTGAAGAAGAAACTGTTATATACAAATGAATGTCTGGCTTTATTTGGCCTAGTAGTAAAACGTTTGAAATAGTTTTAATATATAAATTATATAAATATATATAAATATATATATATATAGATATGAACTACCACAACAGCTTGTACAAACATGAAAGCATTTCTTTATTTTTGGTTTGTATCATACCAGTTGGATTAGTTGTAACTTTTGTTAAGTGTATGTATGGTATTTATTAAAGAAATTTGTGTTTCTCTCCCTCTTTCTGCCCACTACGTGTACTGTATGTATCTTAAGTGTTTTACCAATGGTCCTGCTGGTGTCTGGTGTGTATGTGCGTGTGCATGTAATAATGCAAAAGAAGCCAATATCATGGGTAGACGCTTACAAGGGCACTTGAGCCTGAAGGTGTGTGAGAGAACAGGTCATGGTCAGTTTTACCTTTGTAAAGTGAATAAATTCTTTTTATTTCATCAGGATGATTTGGCGCTGGTTTTTTAATTGTTATTTTCTGTCATGAGGAATAAGCAAACGGAGGGCCATGCTGCTTCGTTACAAAGATTGGTGGAGTGTCTATATGTACAGAAAAATGAAGGGGAGGACATGTACATCTATAAAAAAAAAACCAAAACAAAACACATTAAAGGTGACTCATGCAAATACAATGAATAATGCAACAACTTAAAACAGATGGTGACAATAACTGAGTTATAGATCCAATTAGTGTAAATTGTCAGCTCATACAACATGGTTTTCACATCATTAGTAACTCTAAAATCTCATATTTCCATTGCAAACTGGATATAAATACAGCAGTGTACACTTTTTTTTTTGCAGTTTCACAATTATTATTATTAAACAAAAACCTTACATTTTACAGGAATGTCCCACTGGACAATAGAAATTTAACATATACGTCCCTCCTGAAAACCTTAACGTGACTAATTTCCAACGATGGAGTGATAAGTCAGTAGTCAGGAAGCCTTCTGTTCTCAATATGTAAATTAATAGTCACGTCTGTGTGCTGTCATGTTCAGACAGCATGATTTTCACTCATCAGAGATGAAGTGCACCACAAAGAGCCTGACGTATCCCTGGTCCCACACATACAGGTGTCTGTCCTTCGGGCTATAGGAGAGCATCGCCAGCACTCCACCAGGAGACCTCAGGTCAAAGGTCATATTGACCGGCTTTCCCTTCAGCAGGTCAAATGCGAAGGTGACTCTGCTGTCCTTGGTGTCGGTGACATACAGGACTCCACATGCGATGAAGGCGTTACCAGCCTTGGTGCGGGGGTAGGTGGTGTTGATGTAGGATGTGACAGAGAAGGTTTTCTGGTCCAGCTGGGCCACCATGATGCTCTCATCTAAGCTGGACGCAAAGATCAGCCACAGGCCGTTCTCATCTGCTGCCAGCTTGAAGTAGGTCTTGGAGTTGTGGAGCAGATAGGCGAGGTTGTGGTACAAAGCGTTGTCTATGGTGAGAGTGCGAAGGCTCTTGGTGTGGAAGTGAAATCTGGGAACAAACAAACAGCAAGATGTGAATTGGAGGAAATGGAACTAATCAAAACGACAGGATTTCATCACACTGCTTTTGAGCTCACCTGGCAATACTGGAAGTACCAGCAATGTGATAATAGAGGGAACCATTGTGAACAGTGTGGCCGCAGCCTTGGTAGAACTTCCTAACGTCCACAATGTCGCTGCTGTTGCTCTGAAAGGAGGCGATGCTTTGATACTCTTTCACCACACGACCTGGAGAAGAACAAGCAAAATGTTACCTGATAAAACACAACTTACTGTAGCACTTATTAGAGTAGTTTTCTCTGCAAACAACCCACCAGAAAAGTGTTCTGCCACCCATATTCTCTCATCGTTCAGCTGAGCGGTGTCTTTCATCCATGTGCCAAACGTGCTCTCCATCTTTGTCACATTCCTGGGGTTGATCAGAGACTTTATCAGGCACTCTGAGGAAAAACAAAAGAACAAAGAACTTACAAGTTTCCTTCCACACACCATGTGTTGTGAATGTAGACACGCTTATCTAAAAAAAACGTACCGTTCTTCTTGGCGGGCTTCTCGTGACGTTTCATAGCCTCCTTTACATGTGAGGTTTCATCATTGGGAATTGGGTGCAACAGCCCTGTTAGAGACAATTTCATCTTGTTTTATTCACAGAAAACACGTAAAACAATCTCAGCATAATGTCCATATAGTAGCAGATTTTTTTGGTCAATCATATACAATCTTCCCCAGTGTTGAAGAATGAAAATTTGAACATCTAAGCCTCGGGGAAGATTGTTTGAAAGAAAGGTGAGATTGTTTTGTCAGCTACTGTTTCCAACTGCAAACTGTTTGCGTCCACTCACCCAAAGTATGAGCAGCTTGAAGGTGGGCTCTTTGGTGCCTTGTTCTGGGGGGTCCCTGAGGTCCGGGAGGTCCTGGAGGGCCCATAGGTCCAGGAGGCCCTGCTGGGCCAGGAGGACCTGTCCAAAGAAGAAAACTTCTCAATTCAGAGCTAGGTTTGTTCAACGGCAAATGCATGTGTGGACATTATGAGGGCTGTTTTTCAATCCTTCCATCCAACAACAATTCAATTTAGTTACGAAATAGTTCAAGAAACCGAGAAACTTGCCCTCAATAATGACATCATTGGATGGTTGGCTCATCTCTCCGGGCGGACCGGGCTCTCCTCGCTCTCCTTGTCCCCCTGGCTCTCCTTTCTCACCTGGCGGACCTGTGGAAGAAATTGTGCAAAGTGACTAAAAGATTGCATTCATAACGTCAACGCACTTTGCTCCATTGTTAAGAGCATGAATTATTCCATTGACTTGCTGGCGTGAATCATGTCCTCCAACAGAGTGAAAGTGGGAGAATATTCTGAGAGAGTTTCCAGTTCATTCAACTGAAGGCCAAAACCACAAGGATGAATAATATTAGTTGAGAATGTGAAAGAAAGGCAGATGTTTAAAGCTCCCCACTCATTTATGAATTAGAAACTGGTATGAATAAAATCGGATGTGATACATGGGCAGGAAAGAAGT